CGTAACAGTTTTTTATAATGCTCACCTACAAAGAAAAAATTAAATGCTTTGAGGCCGCAACAATAGAAAATTTTGATTTTAGTCATATTTACACAAGTCTCCCCACTAATAAAATCGTTTAAAAATGTTTCTTTTAAAATGTTTCTTATAACAAATCACCATCGTTTCACAACAAACGGATTCTTACAAGACATTAATTTGTTACATGACGACACATTTATGCAATTGTTTAACATGTCTTTTAACAAAGACGAAAAATACCTATGAAAAAAAACTTCAGACCAAAAGTTGCACATTTAAATTTTTTCTAACTTGGATTTTTATACACAACAGATCAGTCTCGCTTGTAGATATACTGATGATATTATTATACTTAGTTATCAAGACTTTCTTGACGCAGCTAAACAAATATATTCATCAGAACTCACTATGGAAAAACAAATATCTTTCACTAAAAAACAGCACATTATCTGGATTTAAACATCAGTATCATTAATCAAATACTTAAGTTCAAGGTTTTCAATAAAATGGATAATTTAAACTTTTCCTTCCCCAAAAACAAATATGTCAAATGAGTTATGTTACAAAGTTTACTATTCGCACCTCATTAGATGTAATATAATTTGTTTTATAAAATTTAGTTGACAAACCTTGTACATTCACTCTCGTTTTTCACAAACAACGTTCTGTTCCTACAGCATTTTGAACAAAAAATTTATTCAAGTTTACGAAAAATGCAACAACATTCTTAAAAATACTACGAGATGTATCTAACACAGCTAATTCGACTTTAACTAATCCTTGTCACTTTACAAACACACGTGGAGCGGGAAGCACGAAGTCCCCCACTGGGTCAGCGCAAAGTTTACGGACTTGCAACGTTCAAATACAAAAATATAGGGTTCGATTTCCCGTAGTAGACAGAGTAGAGATAGCCTATTGTGTAGCTTTGTGCTAAAACAAACTTAGTAATGAAGAAAGTGAAATACCATGAAGTAACCAAACCGAAAAGTAAATACAATAGGAGTCGAGAAAACTCTTGAGTAATAATAACACTTAGAATAAGAAATAACAATAATGGTAAATATGAACATCGAACAACTAGTAAAATTAATGTAACTTAGCTAATGACGTAATAATTTACTATATAAAAAGCTATTGTATTAAATTTAGGAAGAACATAAACTAACAGAAGGTAGCATTAAAAGCGCTCAATGTATGAAAGTAAACAAGTTTTACGAAATTAAAGTGTAGACGTGAAAATTGAAAAAAAAAGTCGTAATATTGTTCAAATCCCCTAATTAGTAGCAGCATATAAATATATATATATATATATATATTATTACATTTAAAGTGGTTGTATTTTAATTAGAGTATTAATATTTTTGCTATTTACTGTATGATTTTGTAATTCGTTCAATTTATTATTCATTATTATTGACTATTTTGTACCTTCAAGAACATTAGTATTTTGCTGTGCTATCTGTGTCTTGTTACTCGACTATACAGCGGAAGAGTAACACGTGTTACAGTAATTTGTCTCAGGTGTGAAACTACTTTAAAATTACACTGTCAGGTTCGTTTAATGGGCAATCATTGGTTACAAGAAGTTGTTAGGCAGGAGTGTGTAAAGTTTTGCGTATACTGAGTTCTTCAAGGAACATTAATTTTAAGATGATAGATTAAGGAAACACTAATGTTTATGTGTTACGCAAGTATATTCTAATCTTTCTTTAATGTTACTTCCATTAACAGCATTGATTACAATGTTAAATATATCTTATTTTTATCAATATCTTAGTATACTGATTTTGCTGGCCAAACCTTGTGATATGTTATTGGATTACGACCGAAAGTTCCGCTCACAGTAAGAGTACCTAACTGATGAAAATCTTTCTAATTTATCAGTATTAGCTACACTCATTATCGGGTTCACTTTTAAATATGATCTATGTTGGTAGTTTGCTTTGATTTTAATTTTAATCGGGTGGATAAATCGTATATTGTAATAGTATCAACATGTCTAATCTTTATTGTCTAGTTTAATCTTCCTATACCCCAGATTTTATATATTATAAGAACAAATCGTGTCTATCAAATTATTTTCACGACTTACTATTGTCCCTTAAAGTACCAAACTTGTCTCTGTGGTAACCAGTTACAGTTTACTATTGTCCCTTATAATGCAAAGACTTGTCTCTGTGGCAACAGACCAGCTTTACTACTGTACCTTATAATGCTAATCTTGTCTCTGTGGTAACCAGGCCAAATCTTGTAGCTATGGTATCTAGGCAAGCTTTAATATTGTTCCTTATATTGTTAAAACTTGTTTCTGTGGTAACAAGACACACACTTTACTATTTTCCCTTATAATGTCAAATATTGTAGCTATGGTAACGAGGCACGCTTTACCACCGTTCTTTATAATAGGACTAATAACCATTCTGTGTATACTAGCATTGCTATAATACATTTGTGCCTCAAGTAAGTTTGTTTTAAAATTTACTTTGAAACTGTTAGAAATAGTTTCAAGCTAGCTAGTACGTTTGAAATTATACGCAATGTTATTAAGTTTTCACTGTGCAATTAACAGAAAATCTTAAGTGCAACGTAGAATGTTAATACCGATAAGTTCGTAGCCTTCCACCAGAGGGCGCTTAAAACAGAAACAGAATATTTTCAAATTAGCTAGGCACGGAATGTATCTATTGCGGTTTTCGGATATATTTGAAACCTCTCAGACATAGCTGCAAAGCATAATCAGAAACTCGTTTATAAGAAAATTTAATAACCTGCCAGTGAGGGAAGCGACAAATCAACATACTGCGCCTCTCGCGATTGGTTTATTTAAACTTTCTTTCTTTCCTATTTGTACATATGCTCGTGGCATATAGACTTTCTTTATAGCATGAAATTTACATCAAAGTAAGCTAAACACAGATAGTGTAAAATTGTGCACTGTTGTGTTTATGAATTCGTGAAAATCCGTCAGGATTTAATCCTGCAGAAAGTGTTTGTGAGCTTTATCATACTGCCAGTAGGTGAGTTTAAACTATACATTACAGAAAATAAACTAGAGCAAGATGAACCCAAAACACTGCACAAGTTTTTATCTGTCAAACTTATATATCGTCGAGATCGTTATGGCCAATAACGCTAAAAACCAGGTTTCGATACCCGTGGTGGGCACAGCACAGATAGCTCACTATGTAGCTTTGCGCTTAACAACAAACAAACAGAAAAGAACTCAGTACCACGTGGAACCACATGGTTTGATATTGTGGTATAAAGTCAATAGTTTACACCACATATTATGAAATATGTACTTTAATATAATGGTATCAAACTTAATGATATATCAATGTTCAGAAGATCTGCACTTAGTACGTATTCAAATAAAAGTTAAGTAAATTTTAAAAAATCATACAAGTTTACGACAAATGTTTAATCTCAACTAACCACGTGACTTATACTCTTCCAACCACACTCACGATATTTGAAGGATTTCGGTGTTTGGAGACACGTGCAAAGCAAACTGAAACACGTGCTACAAGAAAAAACGACTATTTAATGAGGTCTAACTAAACACTGGCAGGAAGTCAGAATGAGAGACCTATCAAACCGAAAAAAATATATCCACTTTGACTCGACCTGCTTAACATGTCGACTTTTCCTTCCAAATTATTGTTTTAAGAAGCCAAGTTTAGTTTGATTATTTACTTATTGATGGCTAAGTAAAGAAGTGTTAACTATTGATTAAAAATTAAAGTATATTTCTAGCGTTGAAGCGCCATATTTCACTGAAAAAACATCCATGTTTATTCAGGAGTTGTTAGATTTTTAGGAATGCAATTAAATAACATGTAATTTGATATTGTTTTAGAATAAATCTGTACAGTGAGCTATCCGTCCTGTTTACGCCACGGGATTCGAAACTCAAATTTTAGAGTTATAAGCTCTGAAGCTTACTTACTACTGAGCCACCGTAGACATGTAACAGGTAAGAGCGTATATTTTTCGATAATGTTATTACGTATATCGTTCATTCAAAATCACTGTTTTACTTATTTAAACCTGTGCTTAGAGCTGCGTTGCTAGGAGACCAGTGGCACGGTCGCGCGTGAGAAGATTTCTCGGATCTTCACAAGAAGGTAAAATACGGATTTGTTTTCTTAATTATGAAAGTTCATTAATTGGTCTGAAAATACAATCTCCATTATACTATAGAATCGCTATTAATTGGTAGTTAGTTAGCTGGCTGGATAGACATTGACGAGCTAATAATAACTATTAATTCTGTTTCATCCGTTTAATAAATCACACGTTTTAAGCAACACACCTACTTACAGCAAGTTCAGCAAGAAGAATATTTATACTCTGACAAATTAGGCTCTAAAAATTCGCTGTTTTATGTCCTAAAAGACAGGCAAGTGGGGAAAAAATATTTTCATCTTTCACACAAACACAGTGACGTGGAGTTCGATGACGTAGAGAAAAGGCCCAGCCTCTTTTCCCGCCTCTGAAAATCGAATAGCCTGGAAATGTGACAATTCTCTCTTGGCAACTGGGTGCAAAGGACGCGATTTCTTGAAATGTTATGATGCGGTGAGTAGTGTTCGTTACACCTGGTGTTAGGTGCATTATAACGTCAGGTATAACTAAGCCTTGTAAATATTGGTATGATATTTACCTTTAGGGTTAGGTTAGACATTACAATACCATTTTTTTATTTCGTGAGATTAGCATTTCACGTGTATACTAGACATTTTTTTAATATCATACTAATTTCTTAAATATTTGTTTTACTTTTAAAGTTTCGTAGTGCTCCATATGCTTCAGACTAAAGCAGAAATATAAATTTGATTTGATTTGTTTGTTTGAAGTTAAGCACAAAGCTACACAATGGGCTATCTGTGCTCTGCCCACCACGTATATCGAAACCCGGATTCCATCATTGTAAGTCCGCAGACATACCACTGTGCCACTGGGGGGCCAGAAATATAAGACCATTAAACCGTCATACAACAAATACATAATTTCTGAAACTTTTTATTTTATTTTCTGATAATAATACGCTTAAAGACAACGTTTATTGCTTGTAACTAACTAGACCTCCGATGGCTCAGCGATATATTTGAGGGTTTATAACGCTAAAAATCTGGTTTCGAAACCCGCGGTGGACAGAGCACAAGTAGCCTATTGTGCAGCCTTGTGCTTAACATAAAGTAAAAGAAGAAAAAACTCGGTAAATCTGAAAGCATATAGCGTTAAAAATTGAGTTTCGATACCCACGGTAGGTAGAGCAATGGTAGCTCCTTGTGCTTAATAACAAAGAAACGAAAAAAAAACAACTAAAAGCTTAATACTGCATCAGCGTTATTATTAACCTTAACTGTGACGTATATATTATTATTGTTTGTTTGTTTGAATTTCGCGCAAAGCTACACGAGGGCTATCTGCGCTAGCCGTCCCTAATTTAGCAGTGTAAGACTAGAGGGAAGGCAGCTAGTCATCACCACCCACCGCCAACTCTTGTACCAACGAATAGTGGGATTGACCGTCACATTATAACACCCCCACGGCTGAAAGGGCGAGCATGTTTGGTGGGATGGGGATGCGAACCCGCGACCCGCAGATTGCGAGTCGAGCGTCCTAACCACCTGGCCCATATATTATTATATCAATACAAATTAACCTAGTAAAACTTGATGAAATTGTTTTACAAACAGTCGTGTTGAAAAGAGAAAAAAACTTTCGCAATTCTCAGTAATAAGATAGAAACATAAGACCTCTTGTGCCATGTCTTAATGTCCCGTCCAGTCAGTGCTCGAATGTAAAAAAAAAAGAAAGTGAAATACAATAGCGGGTGTATTTTTGTTGTTTTGAGATTCGATGAGTGAAGACTTTTAGCAATGATATTACGTAATAAACTTTCTTACTCAAGGGGAGTCAGCTAGAGGTAATAGAACAAGGGAAGTATATTTTGTAAAACATGAGGTGGAGACGATACAGTTTTACTTCTTCATGAAGTGGGGGATCGTCTCCGTCGTTTTGTTTCATTATACATCCACTACTAAGGTAATACTGATGTAATTATCGTTATACATCCACCATTACTAAAATAATACTGATGTAATTATCGTTATACATCCACCATTACTAAAGTAATACTGATGTAATTATCGTTATACATCCACCACTACTAAGGTAATATTGATGTAATTATCGTTATACATCCACCACTACTAAGGTAATACTGATGTAATTATCGTTATACATCCACCATTACTAAGGTAATATTGATGTAATTATCGTTATACATCCATCATTACTAAAGTAATACTGATGTAATTATCGTTATACATCCATCATTACTAAAGTGATACTGATGTAATTATCGTTATACATCCACCACTACTAAGGTAATATTGATGTAATTATCGTTATACATCCACCATTACTAAAGTAATACTGATGTAATTATCGTTATACATCCATCATTTCTAAAGTAATACTGATGTAATTATCGTTATACATCCACCACTACTAAGGTAATATTGATGTAATTATCGTTATACATCCACCACTACTAAAGTAATACTGATGTAATTATCGTTATACATCCACCATTACTAAAGTAATATTGATGTAACTATCGTTATACATCCACCACTACTAAGGTAATACTGATGTAATTATCGTTATACATCCATCATTACTAAAGTAATACTGATGTAATTATCGTTATACATCCATCATTACTAAAGTAATACTGATATAGTAACACTTCAGACACATTATTGTTATAATAATTTTGTTTTTTCAAAAACAATTTGTTCTGCTTTATCTTAGCTTGCTTAATATGTCAGTACAAGTGTATTAATATGTCGGAACAAGTGTATTAATATGCCGGTACAAGTGTATTAATATGTCGGTACAGTGTATTAATATGTCAGTACAAATGTATTATGTCGGAACAAGTGTATTAATATGTCTGTACAGTATGTTAATATGTCGGTACAAGTGTGTTAATATGTCAGTACAGTATATTAATATGTCGGTATAAGTATATTAATATGTCGGTACAAGTGTATTAATATGTCGGTACAGTATATTAATATGTCGGTGCAAGTGTATTAATATGTCAGTACAGTATATTAATATGTCGGTACAAGTGTATTAATATGTCAGTACAGTGTATCAATATGTCGGTACAAGTGTATTAATATGTCGGTACAGTATACTAATATGTCAGTACAGTGTATTAATATGTCGGTACAAGTGTATTAATATGTCGGTACACTATATTAATATGTCAGTACAGTGTATTAATATGTTGGTACACTATATTAATATGTCAGTACAGTGTATTAATATGTTGGTACAAGTGTATTAATCATATTTCAGTAGGCGTTGAATACAATTTTTCACGGTATCATTTGTCTTATTATAAACTGTATCCATTCAATTCGATAATAATAGCTTTTGAATTTTATTTAATAATCCCTAGCCTATCAAATACTCTAAATCTTTCTGACGTTTATTTTTTTGTTTGTTCTTTTTTTTTCAAAATAATCCAGTATATTAATTGGAACTAGACGAGCCAAATTGTATTTTAGGCTTTACTGTATATAATCAATGTATTGCCGGTAAGCTAACACAATGACCACTGAGAAAATATACTAAATTCGAAAATAATAATAAAAATTTCCTGGAGATAAGTCATACATTTTATCCCTAAAATCATCACAGTCCTCAAGTGAGCATAACATTCACTTCACTCTGAAGCATACTCTATACCAGTTGTGTTTATTCAGTCGGTTACAAATGTATTTAATACAACAAAGGCGATAAAATCTGATATGTAAGCCTTAATTGTTTTTATCGTTTGTAACTGATAGTAATTACAATAGAAACCCAAGACATTTTCTGATAGTAAATGTAAACTGAAGGAATTTGTGAAAAACAAAACAACAACAAATCAACGCATGAGTAGAAGTATTCAGCACAAAACACTTGTAACGAATGATTAATTGTTCCCAACTTATAATCACTACTAATACAATCCCTAAGTATACCATATATATAGTTAAACTAAGGTATTCAGTTTACACTATATATATAGTTAAACTAAGGTATTCAGTTTACACTATATATATATAGTTAAATTAAGGTATTCAGTTTACACTATATATATAGTTAAACTAAGGTATTCAGTTTACACTATATATATAGTTAAACTAAGGTATTCAGTTTACACTATATATATAATTAAACTAAGGTATTCAGTTTACACAGTACTATTCACGTATTATATGAATTAGGTGTTGTGTTTTTTTCTTAAGTTACAACAATAATAGGTTTTACATTTCAAATATTTCTTCACACACGCACTCGGCCATATCCACCTTTGTGTGAAGAAATATCTGGTTACGAAATGGAATTTTTCAACAGCTAGTTCATATTTGACGTTTATAACCCGGAAGACACCTTAGGAAATACATGGGCTAAATGATCAGGTCAGAGACCTATAAGGCTTAGGTATAGTCGTCCCTAATTTTGATATTTCGACCAGAGGAGGGTAGCCAATCTGCAACAACCGCCGCCACAAGAACTTGCTTGATTCGGCTCTTTGAATCAGATTGCAGAATTGACTCTCATTTTTATAATGCACCTACATCTGAAAGTGTGAAGCGTGCTCAGTGGCATTACGTCTCGAACCTTCATATTCGCAGCCCAGCCTACGTTTGGTTAAATGATCTAATGAAGCAGAATTGTATAACATATTTTAACTATTTATTTATAGCACTTGATCTATATATTTTTATTTTAGTTTAATTACTTACTATAATTTGTATATATTATACTCGTTGCACAAAATAGGACATTAACCTTAATGAATATAAAGTTTTTCATTAACATCTGTTGCGAGTTAGTCTTTTAAGTATGCTGATGCAGTCATATACAAAAATGGTCCCAATCTTTTTTTTTATCCTTAATATATGAGAAAAAAAATGGCAATTTTATTTAGGACAACTTAAGTTATCAGTAATTGCTAATAAAAGCAAGCTACCTTCATGAGTCAGAAAATAAAACTTATCCGTTAATTAATGTAGGTAATTTAATACACCGGTATAACTACGAGTATGCAAGATCATAAACAAAGGCGTATAATGATTACAATGCACTGATTCATTATTTGAGTACTATCGCTGTTGTAGACATTTTCGGCCGTAATCCCAATATGTTCACATGAATCTTTTTGTACTTCTATATATATTCCTGCTAATGTACTCCAAAGAGTAAAAAGTAAGGCATACTATTAATTGTTAAGCATGCTAAATGAGATCTGGTATTGTTTTAGTTTTTACTTTATTAATATGAGCTATTTTTGCTGTGCCCACCACGATTATAGAAACCTGTTTTTAGCCTTATATGCTTTCACACTTGCTGCTGAGCCACTTAGAGACGTATTAATACGGCAAATAATGTGCTTTATTGTTCATACTCGGTACTATTCGATTTTATCTTTTTTTTCGGTGAAATTAATATTTAAGGTGGATAGTAACTATTCTTATAAGAACCGTATATATATTTAATAAAAGAATGATGTAAACAGTAGACTTATGATGTTTTCAAGAACATAAAGTAATTAATTTTTTCTTTGCCGACTAAACTATTCCAGAACAATGCAATTAGACACGTGTTTTAAGCAGCCCATTTGTAGCCAAAAAATATTATTTATCTTAGTCTAGGTCCTTGTTTCTTTTCAATTAACTGCTTAGAAATTATCCCACTATATGGCCTGAAGGACATAACTAATTAAGTAGCGGTTTCGCTACATTTCAGCAACCTTTTCCTATAGTTTCGTTTTCGTATATCGCAAGAACTTCCCTCTTCTGTTTCATTCTTTCGTTGTGTCCCCTCGGGAGAGGGGGGAGGGACAGTAAATTTACTGACTTACATCGCTAAACTCCGGGGTTCGATTCTCCACGGTTGAAATAGCGCAGACTGCCCATTTTGTTGCATTGCGCTGAAACAAACTTTTCTGGTGGATCAATGGTAAGTTTACGAACTTACCTCGCTAAACTCCGAGGTTCGATCCCGCGCCGTGGCCAGATCGCACATAGCCCATTATGCAGCTTTGCATTAAAAAACAAATAAACAAACAAACTTTCGCGGTATTGCTTGCAATTTTTTTGTTTTGAAGAAAATAAAAACAAAAAACCCAGGGGCTACAGATAAAAATATTTCTTCGCCCTGTTCCTTTTAAAACGAAAATATTTAACTTTATTATATGATATTAAACAGGTGTAGTGATGATATATTGGTGGATATTGCTACGCAGTGTAGTATAAACGATAATTAGATAATTCAACTTTGATATTTTTTATATCATAACGTTTCAGCTCAATCAAGCCAATTGTTAAATTCACAGAAAGTTTATTTTTTTTGTTTGTTTTTTTGAATTTCGCGCAAAGCTACACGAGGGCTATCTGCGCTAGCCGTCCCTAATTTAGCAGTGTAAGACTAGAGGGAAGGCAGCTAGTCATCACCACCCTCCGCCAACTCATGGGCTACT